TAAATCGATTTAAGAAGAAAAGTTATGTGTTAAATATGTTATTTTGGTGGCCCATCTATTTTCAAATCACACTTTTAAACAAACCCTCTCTAGGTGTTTTTCTCTCTCGGTTGGTTACACCTTTTTTTTAATTATACTTTAGTTAGCGTTCGTGCATGTGGTATGATTGAAATCAATTAAAGTGTAACGAGGCGAAAATAACGCTTAAATAAAAAAAAATGCTCAAAAATCTAATAATATGGTTCGGTGAGAAATTTTCAATCAAAATAGAATTTAGCGGTTATGATAATCCAAAAACATTTTTCAACAAATTCTATATTGTCAAGCTGTCTGTATGGGGTGTATTCCATCTAGTATTCAGTAATCTAGTATTCAGTTGAAGAAACTCATTTATTGTTTGATTGTAGTAAAAGCCATGAATCATGGACCTTCAGTCAATTTCGCATTCAATTTCTTTTAGATCTATTTGGCGATACTTGAATATTTGAGTTTTTAATATCTGTTTTCGTAGAATTATTTCAGGAAAATAAAAAAACTAATGTCGCCGCATGTAGCTTGAGGTACTTCAATCAGAATAAACTTAAACAATCAGGAGGAACAGAATCAAACTATTAATTTGAACAAAATGTTTTTTTATATTTCAATTTACAAAAAATAGATTTAGATCCGGGAAAAAAAACTGAAACCGTAATCAAAATGAATCCAAACTAAATATTGTTACAGCTTAATGCATTTATTAACTCTTCAAATCATATTAACCAAAAAATACTCTTTGAATCAACATTGTGTGTAGGAGTTGTCCTTGCGGAGATTATATTTTTATGCTCGGGTCCGAACTCGTTATCTATTAGGAGAAACTTTATAAGTTACTAAAGGAGTGGTAGCGTAGTGGCAACACAAGGGGTTGATTCTCTTGTGCTCTTGTGCCCTGGGTTCAATTCTCTTTTGGGACAAAAAGTTATTCTTTAAATCAGAATCTCCAAAGACTGATTTCGGATCCGAGGAGATTATGAACCTAAACTCCGAAATTCTACGGTTTATCAAAAAAAAAATTATAAGTTATATTTTTTTTCTTTTTGTCAAACTAAGTTATACAATAAGAAAATTAGCAAGGATAACCAACAAAAATTTTATAATTCAAAAACTAACCAATTATCCTAATTTTAGTGACTATGATTTTGCCACATAAGACAATTTTAGCTAGTTTTTTAATTATAATTCTTTTTGGTTATCTTGTAAATTAACCATATACAATATGCAACCCGTCTACTGCGGTTGAGACAAAAAAAAACATGTGTATCGATATGGAGCTTAGGCCGGACACAAGGTTAGTTAAATCCAATAGTTAGGATACCATGTGATCAACACTTAATTTTACACCATTTGCTTGGATATTCTAAGTCATTAAAGTGTTTTCTGGCTAACTTTTGCATACGACACTTTGGCTAACTTTTAGGCACAAGGTGTATAAAATCGAAGCGTGTGTTATGTATTACAGTCTTTATCTTGAAGGTCAATAACATCACCTTGACATATTCTAACATTAGGCTTCGTGATTCATATGTGGGTAAAAAGGTCCACTTTGTACGTGACCTCCAATTGATTTCAATATTACGGCTTTGGTTTGATTATTTTGGAGTGTTATATATGCAACTTTCTCATTTTGGCCGGTTTTGTTGGAATTCTTGCATATGTAGTTTTGTTGAATATCTACCATCTAAATGGTACACGTTGTATAGGTCTGAATGGTACATTTTTATAAAAGGTGTGAAATAAGTGAAACATATCAAATAGTACGGCTACCACAAAACAAACGTAATGATCAAACTCAAAGTGATCATATACGCTTCAAGTATTGGTAGGTAGTACTTGCTCCGCACAAATAAACAATTTGTGAATTTTGTAAAGAGGTGATTATTCTACTAAACGGTATAAAATAATTCTGAATGGTGATTAATATGATTGAAATCATTTTTATTTTTTTTTTGAAAATTATATGATTGAAATAGTTGTGTCAACAATAATCAGTTCTGAAAACCATATAATGTTTGTTTTACAAAAACATAGAAGAAACACAGAAAAAGCTGATATATTTTAATGTTT